GATAGTTGCTGAAACCGGTTTGGCTCAGTGGATAGAGCGTCAGCCTGCGGACTGAAGGGTCCCTGGTTCGATTCCGGCCGAGGGCATGTACCTGGTTGCGGGCACATCCCCAGTGGGAGATGTGCAGGAGGCAGCTGATCGATGTTTCTCTCTCATTGATGTTTCTAACTCTCTATCTCTCTCCCTTCCTCTCTGTGAAAAATCAATAAAATATATTTTTAAAAAAAAAAAAAAAAAGAATGATAGTAAAGTAAAATTCAATTTTTCTTATTCTGAAGTGATTTCACACAACAGCTTGTTCAAAATAATGGGAACAACAATGTATTCAGTAACCACAGCTTACATGTGAGTGAAATGAATGACAGTAATGTCACAAAAGCCAGGAAAAATGAACTAGAAATTTTTGTTTATTATAGGTACTCAAACTCCCCATGCAGTGATGTTGCATTATTTTTAAGTGGCCTTAGGTTAGTTATAAATATATATTGCAATCTCTAGGGCAATCATGAAAAGAAGTACAAAAGGAAGTATAACTGATATGCTAAAAAGTGAGAGAAAATAGAATAATATTAGATGCTCAATTAAACCCACAGAAGGCAGAAAAGGAATGGAAAACAAAAATAGGAACAAAGAACAGGTCAACAAATAGAAAACAGTAACAAATATGGTAGATATTCATCCAACTTATCAATAATAACTTTAAGTGTCAATGTCTAAATATACCAATTAAAAGATAAAGATTGTCAGAGTGCACCAAAAAATAAGACCCAATGATATGTCTAGTTTAATAAAAAGACACATATAGATTAAAAATAAAGGAATAGAGAACAATGTAACATGCTAACACTAACCAAGATAACATTATAGGAGCTATATTAAGTCAGACAGAGCAGACTTCAGAGCAAGGAAAATTATCAGGGATAAAAGGGGCTTTACATATTGATAAAGGGTTCAATTCTCCAAGAAGTCATAACAATCCTTAATATGTATGTGCCTTAAGAATCAGTATTAAAATACATGAAGCAAAACCTGATAGAACTGCTAAGAGCAATGTATACACTATTATCATTGGAGACTTCGCTAGCCCTCTAACAGAAATACACATTTCCAGCAGGCACAACATCACCAAATACATACCTGGACCCAACAGCACCATTGATCAATTGACATTTATAGACTCACCTAACAATAGAAGAATACACATTGTTCTCAAGCTCATATAAAAATTAAACAAGGTAGACCACACTCTACATCATAAAACTCACCTTAACCAATTAAAAAGGATAGAAATGATATAATGTATGCCCTAAGCGCACAATGGAATTAAATTAGTAATCAATACAGAAACAAACCTGGACAATTCCAAAATAGTTGGAGTTTAAGCAATACACTTCTAAACAACACCCGAGTCAAAGAAGACCTCTCAAGAGAAATTTTAAAATATTTTGAAATAAATGAAAATACAACATCAAAATTTGTGGCGTGCAGAGAAAACAGGGCCTAGAGAGACATGTATAGCTTTGTATGCCTGTTAGAAAAGAGAAAGGTCTAAAATCAATCATCTACTATTCCATCTTAGGAAACTAGAAAAAGAAGAACAAATTAAATCCAAAGTAAGCAGAAGAAAGGAAATAGTTAGTGCAGAAATCAATAAAACTGAGAAAAACAATGAAACCAAAAGCTAATTCTTGAAAAAGATAAATAAAATTGATTAACCTCTAACCAATCTAATAAAAAAGAGAGGTGACACAAATTACTAATATCGAAAAGGAAAGTTGGGATATCACTACAGATGCCATGGACATTAGAAGGATAACAAAGGAATGCTATGAATAACTCTGCCCACAAATGTGAAAACCCAGATGAAATGGATCAATTCCCTGAAATACATAAAACTCACATAAAAAGAAATAGACAATCTGAATAGGCCTATATCTATTAGAGAAATTGAATCAATAATTTCTAACCTTCCAACACATATGCCAGGCCCAGATGAGTGCACTTGTGAATCCCACCAAACATTTAAAGAAGAGATCATACCAATTCTCTACAGTCCCTTCCGGAAGACAGAAGCAAAAGAATACTTGGTGATCTGTTCTCCAAGGACAGCATTGCCCTAATACCAAGCCAAACAAAGACATCACAAGAAAAGAAAACTGCAGACCAATATCTATCATTAACATAGGTGCAAAAAGTCTCAACAAAATATTAGCAAATGGAATCAATGTATAAAGAGGATTATATACCACAACCAAGTGGGGTTTATCCTACTTATGCAAGGCTAGTTCCAGATTTAAAAATCAAGTAATGTGATATTACCTATCACATCAATACAATAGGTTAAAGAAGAAAGTGCATATGACCATATTAATAGATCTAGAAAAAGATTTAACAAAATCCAAACTTATTAACAATAAAAACTCTCAGCAAACCAGGAATAGAGGGGAACTTCCTCACCTTGATAAAGATCATCCACAAAAACCTTACAGCTAATGGCAAGAAGCTAGAAGCTCTCCCACTAAGATCAGGAACGAGCAAGGATGTCCCGTCTCACCATTCCTCTTCAACATTGTACTGGAAGTCCTAGTAATATAATAAGGCAAATAAAGGCAATAAAATGTATACATGATGAAAAGAAAGAAATCAAACCAATTTTGTTCACAAATGACATGACTCTCTATGTAAAACATTTGAAAGAATCTACAAAAAATATTCCTGGAGCTAATAAGCAATTACAGCAATATTGCAGGATATAAGGTTAATATTCAAATGCCAATTGTTTTCCTATTTTCTGGCAATGAATAAGTGAAATTTGAAATTAAGGACACAATGCCATTTACATTAATACCCCACAAAAATGAAATACTTAAATGTAAATCTAATAAAATATATACCAAATCTATGAGGAAAACTATAAAACTCTGATGAAAGAATAAACAAGTGAAGAGCTATTCCATCCTCACAGATAGGAAGACTCAATATTGCCACAATGTCAATTTTTCCAAATTTGATCCATAAATTCAATGTGATTCCCAAGTTAATAAATTCAAAATCCCAAGTTATTTTGTGGATACAAACAAACTGATTCCAAAGTTTAGGTAGAGAAGCAAAAGACCCACATGAACCAATACAAAATTGAAAGATAAGAACAAAGTCTGACGATTGACTTTACCTAACTTCAAGACTTACCATAAAGCTGCAGTAGTAAAACAATGTGATATTGGTAAAAGAACAGACCAGCAGATCAATGAAACTGAGCAAGGAGTATACAGCAACCTCTGGCGTCGGGAACTGCCTGCCACTTAGAGCCTGGCTGCTGCTGGGAGCTGTCTTGGTGCTCAAAGCTGTGTTTTCCTGTTGAACGCAAGTCATCCCGCAGAATGCTAGCCGACCAGGCATTCTGTGACCATGATGCCGTGAGACAGACAGAAACAAGCCTGCTGTGCCCTCTCACAATTCCAGACGCCCCCTCCGCTGCTATGAGTGACTGCGGCTTTTATTACTGATTTATGTGTTGCAGCATCCAATCCCGACCAAATTCCGCTGCCTTGGAACCTCTGCAAAATGAACTAACCAGAGCTCAAACCCTATAATTCCTTCCTAGCACTCTCTTACTAAAACGCTTCATGCAACGACCTCATTGCAACCCTATTGAAATCCAAGTTGCTCAATTGCAAGTGTGTTGCTGATGGGATTTGGCTGCAGCATTGACATCGTCCACAGTTATTCATTGGAGTTCTGCTAGGAGGCTCTGTCCCTTACTCATTCCTTCCTTTTATTTATATGGGCACCTGGAGATTATTTCATCCCTTGGGCTCTAATCCATTCCTGTATTTATCATTTTGCTAAATATGTCCCAGCTTTGGTCGTTGGGAGCTCTTTCAGGATGGCTCTGTGTCCTTTTCTCCCGGTAATAAGAGGCTTCCAGGGCAGTTTTACGTTCAGAGCAGAATTGAGCAGAGTGCAGAGCGTTCCCGTCTGTTTTCTGTGCCCCAATCCCTATAGCCCTCCCGACGATGAACATTCTGCCGCAGAGCGGTACATTTGCTGCTCAATGAGCTGACCTTGATAGACCATGACCCCAGATGTATGTGTAACATCAGAAAGGGGGCTCATCTTACAAATCTAAACTAAGTCAGACCGGACTTATGCGGACCACCTGTTAAGGGACCTGCCGCACTAATCACAGCCCTCCGCCTCAGCGTTTGTTAGCTTCCTCCGCCCTGGAAGCTGGCACCTCGCATGTGAGGAAATCTCTGATCTAGCAATCATGCCGCCTCCTGTCGCCCCTTCAGGTGCGCTGGAACACTTGCTCTTGTCCAAAACCCATCGGAAGAGCGATCCACTGCTTGCTAGGCATGTACTTCCCCATTCTGTGGTTTGTTCTCCCCTGAATAAAGCACACGAAACTCATGCTAGATTGTTTTAGTTTTGGCATTTGACTCATATGTCTTTACCTTAAAAGGTACACTTTGAACAGTTCAAAAGTTTCACTTTATATTAGTTTCCAAACACATAGAAAAGTAGAAAACAGTAAAATGAGAATACCAATATTCTAGAGGTAGAACATGATAACATTTTCCTGTATTTGCCTTTCTAGTTAATTACAAATAACTAAAACAACGCTAAGTACTTTAATATGCATCTCGAAGAAAGTAAACTTGCCTAGATAATCCCAATGTTGTTATAAGAATGAACAAAAGTAACGATTACTTCCCTTAATACCGGTCCTATACCAACTTCCACATTGTTCCCCAATGCTTTGTTTTCTCCGGTCAGGCCCCAATCGAGGACCACACACTGTGAAAGTTTAGCCCTTACCTCTGGGTCTGTGGTAGAATCTGCTCTCCAGTTACCAGTAGACTGTTAATAGCACCTTATTGTCACACACACACACACACACACACACACACACACACACACACACACACACACACACACCCTCGCGCAGCATTGTGGGAACCTACGGCCTGTGCTTTCCTCTGCGCATGTGCGACCACCGCCACTGTCCTGTCCGGCTCGCTGGCGCCGAGGGTTTGCAGGCAGGTGAGAGCTTTGGGGGCTGCCACCGCCTCTCCAGGGGCCAGGCCTGGGGTCCCCCGGAAGCGGCTGGGGCGGGCCAGCCCCGCGGCCACCAGGGCGCAGGTGGGTCTCAGTCGGGTCAGAAGATGCTGGAAGCGGGCTGAGTGCGGGAGCCGCCGAGCAGGCCTGGGAAATCCGGCCGGGGCGGAGGGAGGGGGGCGCGTGTAGCGCTGACCTGAACCTGGAGGGAGGGGGCGCTGACCTGAACCTGGAGGGAGGGGGCGCTGACCTGAACCTGGAGGGAGGGGGCGCTGACCTGAACCTGGAGGGAGGGGGGCGCTGACCTGAACCTGGAGGGAGGGGGCGCTGACCTGAACCTGGAGGGAGGGGGAGCTGACCTGAACCTGGAGGGAGGAGAGCGCTGACCTGAACCTGGAGGGAGGAGAGCGCTGACCTGAACCTGGAGGGAGGGGGCGCTGACCTGAACCTGGAGGGAGGGGGCGCTGACCTGAACCTGGAGGGAGGAGAGCGCTGACCTGAACCTGGAGGCGCTGACCTGGAGAGGAGGGGGCGCTGACCTGAACCTGGAGGGAGGGGGCGCTGACCTGAACCTGGAGGGAGGGGGGCGCTGACCTGAACCTGGAGGGAGGGGGGCGCTGACCTGAACCTGGAGGGAGGAGAGCGCTGACCTGAACCTGGAGGGAGGGGGCGCTGACCTGAACCTGGAGGGAGGGGGCGCTGACCTGAACCTGGAGGGAGGGGGCGCTGACCTGAACCTGGAGGGAGGGGGGCGCTGACCTGAACCTGGAGGGAGGGGGGCGCTGACCTGAACCTGGAGGGAGGGGGCGCTGACCTGAACCTGGAGGGAGGGGGCGCTGACCTGAACCTGGAGGGAGGGGGGCGCTGACCTGAACCTGGAGGGAGGGGGGCGCTGACCTGAACCTGGAGGGAGGGGGGCGCTGACCTGAACCTGGAGGGAGGGGGGCGCTGACCTGAACCTGGAGGGAGGGGGGCGCTGACCTGAACCTGGAGGGAGGGGGGCGCTGACCTGAACCTGGAGGGAGGGGGCGCTGACCTGAACCTGGAGGGAGGGGGCGCTGACCTGAACCTGGAGGGAGGGGGCGCTGACCTGAACCTGGAGGGAGGGGGCGCTGACCTGAACCTGGAGGGAGGAGAGCGCTGACCTGAACCTGGAGGGAGGGGGGCGCTGACATGAACCTGGAGGGAGGGGGGCGCTGACCTGAATCTCAGGCCCAGCTTGCTGGCCGCGGGTCTGCAGAGAGGCCGAGGCAGGAGCTGGAGGAGCGGGTGAGTGCCGACACTTGGGCCTGGGTGAGGTTTGTCATTTGGGGGGAAAAATTAGTAAAAACTGTGTTGTGACGTTGTTCAGAGAGAGAATCGTTCCTTGGACAGTATTTGTTTAACCACGTGCTAGTTGATGGGCACTAATAAGCACTGATTCATAGGCCGCCGTTACATGTTGGCTCCCAGCCCGTTTGGAAGAGAGGGTTGTTCTTTTCGTTTAGTGTTTCATTTAATTCTCACAGCCACCCTCTCTGTAGTTATTACCGCGTCATCAGAAAGTGAGAGCGTGGGCTCGGAGGAGTACAGTGTACAGACCCCGTCACCAAGGCGAGGGGCCAGGAGGCAAGTGCAGGTCTGCGTCACCACATGCAGCCTGCCCCTGCCCCGCCTGCCTGAGCCCCTCTGCAGCCTGCATAGCACTCGCAGAGCCGTCTGTGCCCGGCCCCCAGCACCGGGATTATAAAGTCAGTGCCAGCCGACCTCCCTCTGCGGCAAGTGTATGTATTCTGGGGTTTCTGCATGTCTCCAAAGCCCCTGGGGGCTCCTGCCGCCCCCCAGGCCGTGTCTGCCTTCAGAGGCACAATCTGATAGCCCAGGGTAGTGCTCGCAAGGATAGAAAGATAAGGTGGCCTCAGATACAATGGCAAAGGCTCTAGTAGCCACATTAAAAACTAAAAGAAACATGTGAAGATAATTTTAAGAACCTACAGCAGGCCCTTGAATAATGGCATTTAACTCAACAGTGCTTTGTAATAACGTTGGTGAAGGAGGCGAATGAATCAATTCCAGCCGCGCCACTGTGGGGAGGAGTTTGCACGTTCTGCCCCGTGTGCGTGGGTTTTCGCCAGGGACTTCCATTTCCTCCCACGCCCCAAAGATGTGCAGGTTAGGTTAGCTGACATGTCTGCACTGTCCCGGCCTGAGTGAGGGTGTGTGAGGTTAGGTTAGCTGACATGTCTGCACTGTCCCGGCCGGAGTGAGGGCGTGAGTGAGGGCATGTGGTGTGAGCTGCCCTGTGATGGAAGGGTGTCCTGTCGGGGGCGGGGGTCCTGCCTTGCACCGAGCTGCTGGGACGCTCTGGACACCCTGAACCTGAATAAGCAGGCTAGACTAGAACAATCATCTTACTTGTTTTCATTAATCCGTCTTAAAAACATATGTAGCTCACATTTATATCAATGTTTAGTATTGGGGGTATTTGGGGTCTTTATGTAGAAGTTTGGTGATGTTTTTATGACCAGAAATAAGCCATAGGAACTTAACTCTTGCTTATCTCAATTAGCCCGTGTTCAAATGGATTGTGACACACCATTTCACTTAAAGCTGCCACTTCCAAGAACCTGTCGAGGGTGTTAAGTGAGGATCTGTTGCCTTTATCTTAACGTGCAGAATGTCTTTATTCACCTTGCGGCGCTGGCCACATTTCAGGTGCTCAGTAGCAGGATGTGGCCAGTGGCTACAGTAATGGATAGAACAGTCCAGTGAATTCCAAGAGAATCTGGTGTAACGCGATCATGTCACTAGGGTGATTTGCTCCTCAGAGGACTTTTGAAATGTCTAGAGATGTGTTTGGTGTCACAGCTGGGAGGAGGGTGCCGCTAGCACTGGTGAGTAGGGGCCGGCATTGCTGCTAGACAGCCCGCACTGACGGGCAGCCCCCACGATAAAGACCTAGCCAGCCCACGGGTCAGCAGTGTTGAAGTGGAGAAACACTGAGATGGATTTGCTTCCTAGGCCTAGGTCTCAACATCGCTGGAATAAAGTGGCTCTTGCGTGGCAGGAAGGAGGGAGCCATAGGGACAGGCGTCCCACCTGGAAGAACCCCGGTTGGGACTCACCAGAGCTTCAGAACAGCTGCTGGAGAACTCGGAACGGAGCGCGTCTGGATTTGCTCCACCAGCAGCAGTCCTTAGTCACCTTGTCCAGAGGCAGCCATACTTGGTGATGTCCCCACATCCAGAAGCCCAGGTGACAGCGGAAACTGGACCAGCCTGCAGAAGGTGGGAAGCTGGGGCTGAGAGCGATGGGTGACTGTCAGGCTGCACAGGAAAAGCCACAGCCATGGCCAAGGAAATCGGTCTTCTACTGAAATAGCCCTCCATTCTCTTCCTTCTTCCTTCTTCCCAGATCCTGAGCCATTCTCATATCATGTCCATCACATGTGGCACCCAGAGATATGCTGAAGCTTCCTTTATCCTGAACAGATACAATCACAAAATGATAGTATAGGAAGGGATTTCTGTTTCCAACTCTTGAAACCTTAAAGGTGTCGAACCTGGGATGTATGTCCCCTGGTCGACAGGACAGAACTAGGAGCAAAGCAGTATTCATTCTGTCACAGGTAAGTCACTAGAAGTGTCTTATCGAAAGTCTTTTTTATTTTTAATAAGACTTTTGGGAGCTAAGGCAAGGTAGAAGAGGGTAGAGGAGGGATAAATGGTGATGGGAGGAGACTTGACTTTGAGTAGTGAACATTCAATACAGTATACAAATCATCTATTATAGAATTCTATACCTAAAACATATATAGTTTTATTAACTAATGTCACCCCAATAAATTCAATACATTTTTTAAAAATTCAAAAACAAAGCAGATTCAAGAGAAATAACACTCAAGAATTTAGGCATCGGGAGGAGAATAGAAAGGGAAACTTAGCTGAGAAAAAAAAAAGGTTTTTTTGAGAAATTTCAACAAATTAGAACAAAAAGATTTTACATTTTTTAGTCAGTATGTATCTTATTCTTTTCCATTTTCTGTTGATTTTCTAACTCAAGGTGTAAGTAATGACAATATTAACAAATAACAAAAAATCAAGACAGGATTAATATTACCATTATATTTAATAATATCATTAATTACATTAGTCAGAGGGAACGTACTTTTTTAAAATCAATAGTAACATAATTTACAATCACCCAATAAAAAACAGCAAGGTGACATCCATGCGCTCATATCAGAGATGCGCATTTCCGGGAGTGTGGTCTCTGCGTGCTGCTGCCTGTCCTTCTCAAGGGACAGTGAGACATTCCCTCAGGCAGGCCTCGCCCCGGGGGGGTGGTGAGACTTTTGGGCAAGTGACACAGAAGCGCACCAGACCTCTCACGACTCCATTCCTCTCTCCTTGCCCCCAGCGTATCCTTCACAGTCTCCACACTCTCCCGAGAGCAGCAGAGAATGAACAAACCTCAGGTGAGTTATTTATTAACACCCTTTTTACAGTGGATTTTATCAGTGGTTAAAGAACCATATATTGATATGGACAAATAGAACTAGAAAATGTGCCGGCATCATTGAAGGAAGATAGAGGAAAGCCGGTGAATAGCACAGCAGAGTTGTCGTGTAGGTAGATGCACGTCCTCATGTCGCAGATTTTCCGAAGTGCAGCTGCACATTTCTTCCTGACTTTTCCGATAGGCATGTCAGGGTCGGGCACACAATATTAGTTTAAAGATGTGTGTCGATAACAAGCGTAAGCCAAACATTCCTCATGGGACCTAAAATCCTCCAAGTCAGGAAGAAATGTCTGTTGGTCTCCATGGTGATAGTGCACATCTTTCTAATAACGTCCCTGCAATGAATGCAGGAGGTTGTTTCCACTCCCTCCTCAGTGGAAGCAGAGGACACATTGCCAATGCAGGGCTTCCAGTTGTCCAGGTAACTAAAACAGAAGTTAGATATTTTCCTGACCATCCTGTAGAATTCAGAAATCATTCTTAGACTAGCTGGAGGTCAGTATGAATGATCTAAAGATCCACATCCTTAAAATATTTCTCCATAAATATTTCTCCCAAGTACCTGCCATAAACGAGTTGTTCAGCAGATAGTCTAACTTTCTATTCTCTGGCAGATGTTGCCACACTTGCCATTCACACCTTTGCATGAGGCCTTGATGTCTCTCCTCCCACACCCATGCCCTGCACCCACCAGTGACCTAATCACCGTCAAATTGCGTGGGTCCTGCCTCGTCCTCACCTCACTAGACCCGTGTGCAGCGCCTGACTGCCCGCACTCCTCCCTCTGGAAGAACTTTTGTCTCTTGTTAGCGTCTGCCCCCTCCTCTGCGGCTGTCCTGCCTCTCACTGATTTCATGGAGCCACATCCTTCTCTTGCCCTTGCACGTGTGTCATCCACGTTTCCATCCTTTCTCACTACCCTTCCAACTGGTCTTGACTCATCCCTCCCCCTCTCTGGCTCGTTCTCCCAAAGGTGGCCCTGCGGCCCCCTCTGGCCATGGCACTTTGGGTGAGGATGGAAAGGGGCTATACCTGCCCTGTCCAGAGTGGTGGCACGAGCCACCTGCGCCTGTTGAACACTTGAGATGTGGCTTCTTTGACTGAGGAACTGAATTTTTAAGTTCTAAATGGCCACATGTGGCTGGTGCCTACCACATTGGACATAACTGACTTAGCATCTCCCTGTAGGTGTCTGCAGCTCAACTGATTCACAGCACAAGCCAACATTGCCAGTCCTTCCCAAACTACTTTTCCCCATCTTTCCCTATTCCCTGGTAAACCCTGTTTTGCCAGACACCCAAGCCACAAAAGTGGGTGCATCCATCTGTGGGTCCCCTTGCTCTCGCTCTCGCTCTCGCTCTTTCTTTCTCAACTCCTGTCGGTGCTGGTCAGTAATCATGTTTTGCTACTTTTTCTACTTGAGTCTGTCAGAAATAATAGCACTTGTATATGGTTCCACCTAATGTCTTTAAATGCATTTCTCGACTTCATTCCCCTATCTTATGGTCTCTCCACTGAACTGTTGGAATAGCTTCTCTACTACTCTGCCCACTTCTTTCCTCGCCTCCTCACACACATTTCACACGGGCTGTTCACCTGACCGCTCCTGAGGTAATGTCCCTCCCGCGTGTGAATCACCCCAGTGGCTCCGCACCCGTCGGCAGTAACATTCTGTCTCTCAAGGTGACCACGGCAGGCTTTGGAGGCACCGCCCCTTCCCCTTTCTCCTTTCCCTTCATTGCTGCTCTAGCTTGATTGATGTTTATTTGCTGACAGCCAAGATGTTCCAGCGAATTGACATGTTTTATAGTTACACTTAAACAACACAGGTCGTTTTTTTTCTTAATGTTAACAATCTAGTGCAGTGGTTCTCAACCTTCCTAACGCCGCGACCCTTTCATACAGTTCCTCATGTTGTGGTGACCCCCAAATTATTGTTACAAATTAAACATAATTAAAACATAGTGATTAATCAGAAAATCAATATGTAATTATATATGTGTTTTCCGATGGTCTTAGGCGACCTCTGTGAAAGGGTCGTTTGACCCCCAACGACCCACAGGTTGAGAACCGCTGATCTAGTGGGAAATATAACATTAAAAAATTCAGTATGTAACTTTATTCTAAAGCAAAGCCAAACCTCGTTTAGCTTGTTCCTGGCACTGCCTCTTAGTATGTTCTCATTGTCTTCTCTGAATAGAACCATATTTTCATTGTGTTCACCTGGTGCTGTGGACTGAGCTGTGTCCTGTTCCGCCCCCCACCCCCAATTCATGTGCTGGAGCCCTAACCCCTAATGCTACTGTATTTGGAGACAGAGCTTTCAGGGGGTAATGAAAGTTAAACGGGGGCATCAGGCTCTGAGCAAAGTCCATGCACAGACAGTGAGCAGGTCTGTAAGCCAGGAAGAAAGCCTCACCAGAATACACCATGCTGATGCCTCACACACTTCCAGCCTCTAGAACTGGGAGGAAATACCTCTGTTGGTTAAACCACTAGTCTGGTGTTTGGTTATGGCAGCCTGTGAAGCTAGGGCACCTGGCTCTTTACCTTTTTTTTTTTTAATTTTATTTTTAATTGTGGTAAGATGCAGGTAGCATGAAATGTTCCATTTTAGCCATTTTTTAAGTGTAGAGTTTAGTAGTGTTAAGTACATTCATATTGTTGTGCATCCAATCTCCAGAATTGTTTTCATCTTGCAAACCTAAAGGTCTAGATCCATTAAATAGCAATTCCCCATTCCTCCAGCCCCTGGCAAACACCATTGTACTTTCTGTCTATGAATTCCACTACTCATAGAAGTGGAATCGTATGGTGTTTGTCTTTTTGTGACTGGCTTATTTCATTAGCATAAGTTCTCAAAAGTTCATCCATGTTGTAGCATATATCAGAATATACTTCCATATTAAGGCTAAATAATATTGTATTGTGTGTATTTACCCCAATTCATTTATCCATTCATCCAGTGATGGACACCTAGGGTGCTTCCACCTTTTTGTTGTTGTTAATCCTCACCTCTAGGATATATTTTTTCCATTGATTTTTTTTTGCGAGAGAGGAAGGAAGGAAGGAAGGAAGGGAAAGAGGAAGGGAGGGAAGGAGGAAGGGAGTGGGGAGAGAGAGAGAGAAACGTCAATGTGAGGGACACATTGGTTGCCTCCCACATGCGCCCCAACCAGGACTGGGGAACAAACCTACAACCAGGTAAGTGCCCTTGACCAGGAATCGACCCACAATCCTTTGGTGCTTGGGCCATGCTCTGACTGAGCAACACTGGCCAGGCGCTTCCACCTTTTGACTATTGTGACTAATACTGCTATGGATAAAAGTATACCAATATCTCTTCGAGACCTGGCCTTTAATTCTTGTGGATATATATCCAGAAGTAGATTGTCTTGATTCTGTTGCTTTATAGCTAAGTTGTGAAATCAGGAAGTCCTCAAAGGTCAGTGTCAGTGTCTTCTTTAATGGTAGTCCTCTGTGTGTCATGGTTGAAAGGTGTTTCTCTACCCCAAGATCATGAAGGTATTTTATGCTTTAGCAGATGCTTGATGACTTAAGCTTGGCCACCTGGAATTGCTTCAGTGTGTGATATCATGTCAAGGCTCATGTTTCCATATGGATATCAAGTTACTCTGGTAACATTTCTTTAAAAGACCATCCTCTGTCCACTGAATTGCAACAGGGCCTCTGTTGTCAATCAAATGACTGTGTGTGCATGTGTGTGTGTGTGTGTGTCTATATCTACACTGTATTCTATTCCTTTGATCCAATTATTTATCCCTTTGCTAGTACTTCACTGTCATAATTACTATTGCATTGTAGTAAATCATGAAATATGGTAGTGTAAGGCCTTAAAGTTAATAAAAAAAACTTATTGGCTAATTTTGGTCCTTTGCATTTTCATAGAAATACTAGAGGCCTGATGCACAAAATTCGTGCAAGGGGCTTGGCCCCCGCCACCACGGCTTTGTCTGGAAGGACACTCGGTCTAATTAGCATATTACGCTTTTATTATTATAGATTGTCAGTTTCACCCTAGCTGGTTTGGCGCAGTGGACAGAACGTTAGCCCATGGACTGAAGGGTCCCAGGTTCAGTTCTGGTCAAGGGCACATACCTTGGTTGCAGGCTTGATCCCTGACCCCAGTTGGGACACATGAGGGAGGCAACCAATAGATATGTCTTTTTCACATTGATGTTTCTCTCTGTCTCTCCCCCTCCCTTCCACTCTCTACAATGGAGAAGTATCCTCAGGTGGGGATTAAAAAAATAAAACAAAAAAACGTACTTTGCCGGGCAGTGGCAGCTCAGAGCATTGACCTATGAACCAGTAGCCATAGTTTGATTTCCAGTCAGGGCACATGCCTGGGTTTCGGGCTTGATCCCCAGTAGGGGGTGTGCAGGAGGCAGCCAATCAATGACTCTCTCTCATCACTGATGTTTCTCTCTCTCCCTTTCCCTTCCTCTAGATTAAAAAAAAAATAAAGAAAGAAAAGAAGTATTGTCAGTTTCCACAGAAAATCCTGCTGGGTAGTTTTTCAGATTAGAGATGAAGTCTTTGACATGTTTCATTAGATTTATCCCTATGTATTTGGTCTATTTTGATATTGTTAATAATGCTATTTTTTATTTTCTAATTGTTTATTGTTGGCTTATTAAAATACAATGTATTTTTAAATACAGGCATACCTCAGAAATATTGCGGGTTTGATTCTACACCTGAATAAAGCAAATATCACAGTAAAGTGGGTCACATGATTTTTTTGGTTTCCCAGTGCATTTAAAAGTTGTTTACACTAAACTATAGTCTATAAAGTGTGCAATAGCATTGTCAAAAAAAATTGTACATATCTTAATTGAAAAATAGTTTATTGCTAAAAAAAATGCTAACCAGTATTTGAGCCTTCAGTGAGTCATATTTTTGGTGGAGGTCTTAACTTCAATTTTGGAAAAA